GAGGGGAGTTGCAAAATCTTTCATTGAAGGTTTTCAAAAGGAGGCTGAACAGGCAGCTGTCTGGGATGGTCCAGGAAGAGCAGTTCTGGATCTTTGCAGTGGGTTGGACTAGATCAGTGGTGCTCAACCTCTGGCCAGTGGGGCTCCCCACAGGTCTGGATATTTGGCATCAGGGAGCCATGGCAGCATTAATTGCTAACACATAGAACCAGATCTGGTGTGCAAGATTGTATCTGTAGACCAACCCCACATACTGACCCCATGCTGAATCTGGCCCGCAGACTGACCCTGCCCATGGGATCCAGCCTGTAAACTGCCTCAGTACCACTCATTCAGTCCGTGGGGACTAGAAGGTTGAGTACCGTTGGGCTAGATGATGTCTTAAGGCCTTCCCAAACCTATGACTCTAATGATTTGCACTGTAACAAGGTCCCTAGGCCTTTGACAGAAACACCAAGCTTTACCACAGCAGCTCATAAATTCTTCAGCAGAATTAGTTTATTGGTTTGCTGCAATGTACGCTTCAATCCCATCCCCCACCCAAACACCTGCTGCTCATTATCAATAATACTTCTTCACAGAAGCATCGTTGATGGGTTATCCTTGGGGAATCTGTGTGAGAAGAGGTTTCTTGTGTAATGTGAACATAATATGTGTAACAGCAGGTGGAACCAGGGGGTAGTCTGCAGAGCTCTGATGTCTGCAACTCTCAGAAAACCCCAGCTCCATGGGGGGCAAGGGAAAAAGGAAGAGGAAGCATGAGGCTGGAGTAAGGGGAAGAGAGAGCAGTGTACACATGGAACCTGGTCAGCCCTACACAGAGGAGCTGGAGATCTCACTGGTTTGGTCAGCCAGGACTGTGGACTGAAAGAGCTGGTATCAGACTTGGGGGCATCTGCAGGCTGATGTTTAAGCGCTCTAGGGACTAAAGGCTTGATTGGGGACACCTCCAGAAATATAGGAGAGAAATTAAGGTGCTGGGTATATGTTACCACAGTATTGATATTTCTTTACCTTTTACCTGTTCTCCCCAATTGACCTGTTGGCTTGTTACCATAACCTCTATGCTTTACTGTATAAAAGTGGGAGCTTCCCGTTGCTTCTTGTGCTATTTCTAGGGCTGTAGGATTGGCATGCTGGTTAGTTGGCATTATATGAGTCGAGCTGGATCCTATCACAGTTCTTTCTCACTCTGTCTCCTCTGCACTTGGGGAGATAAGGAATTGCCCTGGACATCCAGACACTTCTAGGTTCTAGCATGGCTTCTGAATCAGTTTTATTTATGTTGTGCCATGAATGTTGCTCAACAGATAAAGGAAGGAAAACATCTGCTGGGAGTCCATAGTCTAAGTTAAAATGTAACTTGAGTGCCACAGTTACAAGCACTTCACAGAAACAAGGACAAGCAGCAGCAGTTAGATCAGTGTTTTCTGGCTGCAAAAACTTAAAAGCCATTGCTGCTTTGGGACTGCAGAGCAGAAAGAGGAGTGCTCCTTTGGCTTTCAGCCAGGCCTAGAACACTGCCTTCTGTTCAAGGCACTTCCTTCCTTGCTTGATGTTGACAAACTAGAAGGAGTTTGGGAAAGAGGAGTGGAAATGATCAGTAGCTGGAAGAATTGATTTATAGGGAAAGCTTTAAAATATCCAGATGGTGGCTAAGGGCCAGCATACAGTTCAACCAAAATTCAGTCCGCCACTGGACACAGTCTGGATGGGACCCAGCTATGTTGTTAACAGGAATATGTGCTCAGGCCAAAAGTTTTGCATGTCACAGTGATTTTTGTAGAGCAGGTGGGCCCTGAAAAATGAGTGAGAGTGGCCAAGGGTGCACAGGCTGTGAACACCAGGGAAGGGGAGAGGTGATGGGGGAATTTATTGGGGTGGGACACAGAAGTTAGATGAAGGTAAGAGAGGGAACATCTTTTCTTGGTGAGGGCAGTGGCATCTTAATGAATCTCACTAGGGTGGGGAATCATTTCCCAAGGCAAGTGGTGGGAGCCCCACTAGTAGCTTCCTTCAAAACTACACTGGATAAATCCTCTGAGGACTAATCAGTTGACAATCCTGCCCAGACGTCAGGGGACCTGAACTGGCTGGTCCTCATGGGGATTTATTATTATATCTTGCTCTTGCTTTTGTAATTGGCTTTAAGAGTCAGTACTGTTCTGTTGTTGAACAGAGACCAGCGAATCAGCCAGGATGTGGAGAGGTTCTGCAGACAGCTTAGCTCCATGGCCAGCAAGCTCATCATCTCTCCCTTCACACTAGCATACTACACCTATCAGTGCTTTCACAGGTAAGTACTCTGCACCTTCTCACTGAAAGACGGTGCCTGATGGAGCTCATTTCATACTCTCTGGGGTGCTTCACTGCTCAGATCTTGGTCTGGGCCCTAGCATATTGGATGTGCAATTCCTGGCACTAGTGTGATGGAGGTGGCTTTGACCATAGTTGGAGATATAGTTCCCAGCCTGAGTGTACTAAGGTTCACATCCTTAAATAGCTGTGTAGCCCTGACTGCTTTCCCTACTGTAGTGTGCTGGAGCGTAGTTCCCCCTGGTTGGCTAGCTAACCTCTTTCCTTCTCCCCACTTAGCACCGGCTGGCTGGGCCCAGTGAGTATCTTTGGGTATTTTGTCATTGGGACAGTTGTTAACAAGATGCTGATGAGCCCCATTGTTTCAAAATTGGTGCAACAGGAGAAGCTGGAGGGGGATTTCAGGTGAGTGCATGGTGGAGTAGTCTTCCAGGGTTACAGTTTTGCTGTCCCCCCCCAAAAATTATTTCCCGGCCCCATGTAGCAACTGGCAAAATCCAGAAGCACGGGAAAAACTGAACGCCTTCTGTTCTGCACTGCAGCCTGGGGCAGCAAGCATAACTCGGTAAATCACACCTTCTAACTGAAGAACCAGAGCTCCCCTTTTGTATCCCCTCCCCTAAACTTATCCCAGCTGCTTTAATCTTTCATAACTAAGCCAGCTGTGTAGCTCTGCTTTATCTTCTTGCTGCTGAGCATGGTCCTCTCCAAATCTACCTTCTTTGGGCTGCAGAGCTCTTCTCTCAGTCTCCCAGTCATCTGTGGGGAGAGAGTTGGGAGAGCTCCTGGGCTTCCACCTGTTCTTCTTTACAGAGCACCCGTAGATCATCCTTGAGTAATGCTTATCCAGCCTCCTCTTGAAAACCTTCAGTGATGGAGACTCCACACATTCCTTAGCCAGTATGTTTCCACTGCTGCACTGTACTAACAGTTTTCCTGATATCCAGTCTGAACTTACTTTGAATCATAGAAAGTTATGGTTGGAAGGGACCTCAGGAGGTCATCCAGTCCAACCCCCTGCTCAAAGCAGGACCATCCCCAACTAGATCATCCCAGCCAAAGATTTGTCTAGCCAGGTCTTAGAAACCTCCAAGGATGGAGATTCCACCATCTCTCTGGGTAACCTGTTACAGTGTTTTATTACCCTCCTAGTGAGAAATTCTCCCTCATATCTAACCTAAACTTCCCTCGTAGCAACTTGAGCCCATTGCCCCTTGTTCTGTCATCTGCCACCACTGAGAACAGTCTGGATCCATCCTCTTTGGATCTCCCCTTCAGGTAGTTGAAAGCTGCTATTAAGTCCCCTCTCAGTCTCCTCTTCTCTAGACTAAATCAGCCCAGTTCTCTCAGTCTTTCCACATCAGTCATGTCCCCCAGCCCCTTCACCATTTTGTTGCCTCCCACTAGACTCTCCAATTTGTCCACATTCTTTCTGTAGTGGGGGGCCCAAAACTGAACACAGTACTCCAGATGTGGCCTCACCAGTGCTGAATATAAGGGAATAATCACTTCCCTTGACCTACTGGCAACACAACTACCAATGCAGCCTAGCATGCCGTTAGACTTCTTTTATTGTCCACTATAACCCCTAGATCCTTTTCTGCAGAGCTACTGCCCAGCCAGTCAATCCCCAGCCTGTAGTGGTGCATGGGATTGTTCCATCCTAAGTGCAGGACTTTGCATTTGTCCTTGTTGAACTTCATGAGATTCCTTTTGGCCCAATTCTCCAATTTGTCAAGGTCACTCTGAATCCTAGCCCTACCCTCCAGTGTCCCTACCACTCGCCCCAGCTTGGTGTCATCTGCAGACTTGCTGAGGGTTTACTCTATGCCATCTTCCAGGTTGTTTATAAAGACATTAAACAAAACCGACCCCAGGACTGACCCCTGGAGCACTCCACTTGATACCAGCTGCCAACTAGACAGCGAGCCATTGATTACTACTCTGAGCCTGATGATCCAGCCAGTTTTCTGTCCACCTTACAGTCCATTCATCCAGCCCATACTTCCTTAGCTTGCCTGCAAGAATGCTGTGGGAGATCATAACAAAAGCCTTGCTAAAATCACGGTACACCACAACTACTGGTCTCCCTGCATCCCCAGAGCTAGTCACCTTGTCATAGAAGGCAATCAAGTTGGTCAGGTTGACTGTTCCTAATCACCTTTTTCTCCTCCAAGTACTTAGAAATGGATTCCTTGAGGGTCTGCTCCATGATTTTTCCAGGGTCTAAGGTGAGGCTGACTGGTCTGTAGTTCCCTGGATCCTCCTTTTCCCCTTTCTTAAATATGGGCACTATATTTGCCCTTTTCCAGTCATCCGGGACCTCTCCTGATCACCATGGGTTTTCAAAGATGATGGCCAATGGCTCTGGAGTCACACCAGGCAACTCCCTCAGCACCCTCAGGTACATCCCATCTGGCCCCATGGACCTGTGCACGTCCAGCTTTTCTAAGTAGTCCCTAACCTGTTCTTTCGCTACTGAGGGATGCTTACCTGCTCCCCAAACTGTGCTGTCAGACGCAGTAGTCTGGGAACTGACCTTGCCTGTGAAGACTGAAGCAAAAAGGCATTGAGCACTTCAGCTTTTTCTTCATCCTCTGTCACAAGGTTGCCTCCCCCATTCAGTAAGGGACCCACACTTTCCCTGATCTTCCTCTTGCTATCGACATATTTGTAGAAACCTTTCTTGTTACCCTTCACATCCCTCACTAGCTGCAACTCCAGTTGCACTTTGGCCTTCCTTACTTTGCTGCAGCTTCAAGCCATTGGTCCATGTTCTGCTCTTTGCAAGATGAGAAAAGGTATTTCCCTATGTCTTATGGGAGGTCTTCAGATATTTTAAGATGGTTATCATGTTCCCTCTTAATCGCCAGCAACTTTCCTCAGAGCCTTAGTTCCCACAACCAGCCCACTGGACTCAATCTCATCAAGCCCTATCTGCCCAGTGCAATCTTCTGAATTCAGTCCACCGATTCCCAATCTGCTAACTGGACCAGGTAGTGTCCCTGAGCCTCTGGTGTTCTAATTTTCCACCATTATTCATTTACCCATCTCTGCTGCTGCTGTTGCCTCTGCTAATGCATTGAAAGCTATGGAGCACAAAGTGCACAGAGCTGCTTTTAGAAGAGATCTTGGTTCAAGTTTGTTAATCAGTCAGCATGGTGCCTAAGATCTGTACAGCTTCTGTTTTTCCACCACCGTGACCTGAATACACTTAACCTTCATGATATGACTGAAATTGCTCCCAATCCTAGGTTTTTTTTCATTCCCTGTGCTTCAGGCATTCTCTTCTTTTCTACCCCCTCCATAAAATTGCTGGATCTCTGACCAGGTGCACTGGAAGGATTTTACAGTTTCCACTGAAGTGTCCAGCATCCAGATGTACCAACTAGTGATCTGGTGCAGTGTGGGGATACCAGACTGCATGTGTTCTTATACCACTGGGGTGAATTAATGGTAGAGACCCTGGGCTAGCAAACAGGAGCTGGGATACTCTGCTGTGCCAGGTGGTGGGATGCCCTTGGCTGCAGGGTATGTGTAGGCTATCAAAATATGTGGACATTTAGGCTGATCTGGGATGATGATACCTGCACATTTTTCAGGGTTTTGCTGGCCCATGCTTAATGCTCCAGACCCATCCAGACCCTTTCCTGTATCCTCTAGGACTCTGTAGGGTTGGTGCTGTGGCAGGAGCAGGGATGGGTTTTCTCTGGCGGGGATATTCATTCTCCAGCCCAGTGGGGTTCCATACAGATCCTCATATTTTGCTTTGGGTTGTGCAGGTTCAAACACATGCAGATTCGTGTCAATGCAGAGCCAGCAGCTTTCTACAGGTAAGTGAAGGATGCATCCATCTGTCTTCCAAGCCTAAGGATAATTGCTCAGCTCCAACCTCCCAGAACACTTGGGGAAGGACATCACCTGCTGCCGTACCCCTGTCCCCCTCTAAGTTGCTGCTACTGCTCATTTGACCTAGTCCAGGGGTTGTCAGCTGGGAGTACTTGAGAAGGCCCTAGGGGGTACACTCGCGTGGGCGGGGACAGCACTGCCATGCACAATCCTGCACTGCTGCCGCTCTACATTTGGCCGCATGCCACCCTTCACCCCCCTCCCTTGCTCCGTGTCCAGCCACTGTCCAGTATACTGACCCAAAAAGGTTGAAAAACCCTGACCCTAGTCCTCCCTTATGCCTCTCCCAGCTGTAATCCCAGAGGTTGTGCAGTCTCCTTTAACAGACCAGTTCTCCGGCCCTATATTAGCACAACTAGATGTGTTACAGTCATACAAGCTGGGGAGGAACAACCTACCCTCACACCAGCCTTGGCATCCAGAGTAGAATTGTCCGGGGACCCACAGACCATGTTCTAGTGCTTAGCCACACACCATCTCCAAGCTCGGTTCCCCTTTTTGATTTCTGTCTCGCCGTACTACACCAACGATTCCTCTCCTTCAGGTAGGTATTGTCCTGTTCTCTAGTGCTGTACTGTTTTTCCCACTAACTCAGGTCCCTGCCCCCGCTTTCCTTTCCCCTTCCAACACTGTTTTTGTTGCTGTTCCCCGTACTAGGTTTTTCAGTCTGACTGAGGTGCCCAGAATAGTGTGTCCCTTCATAGGCCGCTTTTGCCCTGTGCTGTACAGTGTCTGCAGCATCTCCCAGCTCAGTGTTCCCCATAAATTTCATTCACGTGCTCCTCACCCGCCTCTTTTAGATCTATAAGGCATTTCATAAGAATGGCTGTTCCCACCTTGATGTGGTCTGGAGTGGAGGGCTTGATTGTGGGCAGCTAAATATTTAACCATCTAGCCTGAGTGCTGGGAGATTGTTTCCTTCATAACTCTGACACCAGGGGCTGGTCCAGCTTCCAGCACTCTACCACGTGCACATGGCTCACTGGCATAGTCTGCAGTGAGAATTTTTAACACTTCTCCCACTGCTGTTCTAATCCCTATCTGGGTGAATTGATTTAAATTGCTGATTTTGCTCTTGTTTTGCAGTTGTGCTTTGTAATTTTTTTTTTTTTTTTAAAGGGTTCATTTTTTTTCCCCCTTCAGTCCTATCTTATTTTTGCTGACAGGATTCCCTACTGCTATATGCAATAATAAAGCTAATCATACTCTTATTGTGATCCTTAATTTTTACATACTGTGTCATAGTAGAAAATAGTGGATAATGAGTTTCTAATTTATTTAACTACCCTGCTTACGATTTTTTGTCAGGCTGCATTGGATGGAAATTGGAACTTAATTAAAATTATGTACCAACATAATAGTTTTTAAACTTATTAGTTAAATTACCTTAAAATGCTGGATATAAAGAGGGAGGAAAAGGTAAATTTCCCAAAACACATTCACTGATTTGTTGAACAAAAGGAATTGTAATTTTGTTGTAGTTATTATCCATCAGGGTGATAGGATGGATATATCACATCCACTCATTTTTATTCTTTGATATGAAGGGAAAAAAACGAGCTTCTCTGCTTTATCTTCCAGTTGGTTTCTCAGCTTTGAGCGAATGAATCATAGCATTGAACTGAGGCAAAGAAAATGTTCTTAGCAGAAGAGGCAAAGGATGTCAGAAGCTGGTTTTGCACTTCAGGAAAAACTCTGGGTCTAGGTGTTTAGTCAGTGCCTTGCACCAGTTCAGTGGCTCAACTTTCTTTGAAAGTTGGAAGTTTGAATATTTATTTTAATTTATCATATTAGGTTGGAACCTGAACATGAATTGTGATGATTTTGAAATTAATTTGAAATAATGCTTGTTTGTTTTTAAGATATAATTAAACTTAAATTTAATAATATGATTTTTATTTAACAGAAAAATATGTCCCCAGTCTAGTTCCTTATGTTGCTACTGGGAGTGGTAGTGTATTCTGGGCACTGGGGTCTTCACTGCTGCATCATGTAGGCCTGCTCTGAGCAGTAATAGACTGTAATTGTCACAATAAAACCTGCTTGCACTGCCACTTCCATAGGGCACCAGGCAGAGATGTGCTGGAGGTAGAAAATCATCCAGACCAGTGACTCTGACCCAGGGTGTTATGGCATGGTGGGGTGCTGCACAATCCTTTTAGGGGTGTTGTGGGGTGCTGCACAATATTAGCACTGTTAAGCATGTCAACACTTATGCATGATTCACAAGATAAACCCAAAAGTTGCCAATAGGAATCCATAATGTCAAAAACATTCTGACTTGTGTGGTCTTTCTGAGTTCTTTACAACAAACGAATTGCTCTGTTAGTTTTCTGTAGACAAAGAAACAAGTGAAAACAAAGAGCTGGCATTTTACAACAGGTGCCTTTGATCTGAAGATGGGTGCCTTGAGCTCCAAATGTTGAGAACCACTGAGTTTGGATGTTCTGGATATATACAGCCTGTGTTCAAAAAGTAAATGTTTCAGCCTTTTCTGCTTCTTGCCACTTGGGGGTGCTGTAAACTATGAATCAGGAGAAACATTTCTCACAGAGACTTAAAATGAGGCATTTTAGTGCATGAATTGAGCTCTCTGGTACAAAGGTCTTATTTCTCCAATTGTATTTGGAGGTGTGCAAATCTGACAATATGGCAGTGACTGTGATGAGATTAATGCTTCCTAAAGCAGGGGTTGGAGAGGACCTTGTGTCTTGACATCAAACTTATCAGGCAGTTTTAGGAAAATGGAAACTAGATTTAAAATACTTTCAGGGTTTGGCTTGGATGAGTGGTGGAAGGCTTGAAGACCAGAGCCAAACTATCCATGCACAAGGAGACCAGTAACCAGGTCATTTCAGTCCCAGTATAGCAACAGATGAAGGGGAATAGCCAGGTTGAGGCTCCTGGGTTACAGAGCAGGTTTCAAGAGAACAGGCTGCCCTTTGCCTCCTTAGTTTACCACCTTGCTCCCCTTTCTCACTCCAGGAGCATAGCAGCCTCTGATTCCAAGAAGGTGTTTTGCTAAGGTAGAACAAGTACCTGCACTATTCAGGTATCAGGCCTTGTTGTCATGACTTAACTGTGCTTCTAGCTCTTCAGGTCGAATCCAGACACCAAGAGGGCTGGAAAAGGGGTTTTTTTAGAACTTCCTGCTTCTACCAAGCGTCTCACCATGGGTGTTTAGTGCCTGGCGCCTGGCCTGGCCTGCCCTGGAATCACTGCCCAGATTCTGTGAGGATGGACATTTTCCATCCATCCATCCATCCTGGAGTCTATAACATTCTCGTCACTGCAGGTCTCCAGCTCATTAATGGCCTTGTGCAGATTCATGGCTTGCTTCTATCTTGTGTTGCAGAGCTGGGCGGGTGGAGCACATGCGCACAGACCGCAGGCTACAGAGCCTCCTGCAGACACAGAGGGAGCTGATGGGCAAGGAGCTGTGGTTGTACAGTAAGTGGTGAGGCATCTGGCAGCTTCATCAGGTTGGCAAATGGCTCTCAAGGGACAGACAAACATACAGCAGTGCTGGGTCCACCCCTGGCTGTCAGACCCCATGCAACAAGTTCAGCACACATGGCATGCCCGTATGAGATCTCATGGAAGAATGGAATCCAGGCTGTAAAGTTGAGAGCAATATTTTGGATTTGCATGTGGAGGCTGGGGACTGCTTTAGGGGTATGAGGGCTTGAGCAGGAGCTGCATCAAGGACTTATCTGAGCAGAGTTTGTACCTCCAGGATTGGCACTGCCTGAAAATCCTGTCATTCATGTGCTCCCTGGAATACTTGATCGCAGTTTCAGCCACACCCAAGCTGGTACTTTAGTGCTGCAAGTCATGGTGAAATCCTGAGAGCTCTGGGCAGTGTGGTGTTCTGTACCACCTAGATCCCCTCAATATTCCTTCCTGCATCCATGCATGGCTGGCCAGGTTTTGCCCCACCACAGTGCCCTAGTGTGTGTGATGCTCCTGGGTGGCTGTTTCCTGCTCTGATGCCTGGGGAAGCTACATGATGGCAGATGGCTCCTCATCCCTGCTCTTGGGCTGTACTACAATAGGAGTTCCTCTGGCTTTCAGCACTGTCTCTTGTGTTGGTCTGTGGGGGAGGGATTGGGAGTCTCTGCAGGGTAATAACTCTGACTGCTCTGACTAGGCCCAGAAACTGGATATGGATTTGCCTGGGATAGAGGGTGCTCACTGCTCCAGCTAATGTGTTTTGTATCCAGTTGGGATCAACACCTTTGACTATCTGGGGAGCATCCTGAGCTACGTGGTGATTGCCATTCCTATCTTCAGTGGTGTCTATGGAGACCTGACTCCAACAGAACTGAGCAGCCTGGTCAGCAAGGTGAGCACAGTATAATCTCTGAGGGCAGGGCCCACATTGGGTCACAAGCACCCAGAGAAAAGTAGCACAGACTGGCCTAGTCATGAGGCTTGGTGGGGCTGAGTAGAGTCAAAGTAATATCTGGAAGGGGCTGGAGTCCTGTCTGCTGGCATTGAGAGCAGAGCGAGCAGCACACAGTGGGAGGGAAGGGTCTGGACACAGGAAAGAGGTGGGTGACCCTCAGGAGTCCTGGCTGAGTGCGGATAGTCTCCTGAAATTTTCTTGCAAGAGGGAGAGAAGGGAGCCCTGAGCTGGCAAACTCTTAGATGTGTGATTTAACCTGAAGCATATGAGCAGCACCAAGGAGTTTGTGCATCTGTGGAGGGTTAGTTCTGTGACTAAATGTATTACTAGCTTGGAACTTCCTACTTTGAGTGAAAAGCCAGGTTCTGCTGATCTAGTAAGCACCAGAGAAGGACTGGGGCTCACACAGCACTGTCAAGTTCCCTGCTTCTGCTGATTGAACAGAAACCACAGCAGCTGCCCCCCTTGACCAGATTTTATGTTCTGTATATGTTCCTGTGTTCGTGCTGACTAGAAACCTGAACTCTCCTATGCATTCGTTGCTTTACTAAAACCCTAGATAGGGCCCTCCAGAACCTGACATGTTTCCAGCTGGTCAAAACCTGCTTGAGGCTGGTAATGTGTTTAAAAATAGTCCACCCAGAATTCCAGGCTGCGAAGCAAGCAGAGCTGTCAAAGAGCAGCAGCCGTCTCCCAGGGCAGTGGCAGGGAAATGGTCATCATGAATCTTGGAAAGGGCACTGACCCCAGCACTGGCAGGGGTCACAGTATTGCCTGACAGAACTTAACAGGACTTAAGGATGGACTAGCTGTAAACAGCTGCAGCTTGTTTATCCACCTTCTCCGGTAGGGCTCTGGTAGCTCTGTGGGACAGGATTCTTTGCATCTTAGACAGCACTGAGCTCATGATTCATACTAACAATCAGAGCTCAGTGCTGTCTAAGATGCACGCACTTTCATTTAAAGGTTGTAAAGGCCTTGACTCTTGTGGTACTGGCTGGTTCTTGAGAGCTGGGATTGTTACAGGGTCATGTGGGAAGTGCTAGTCCACATGTAAAGAGGTTTTTTGGCAGGTGCAAAGTGATCCCCAGGACCTTCTCTTCCCTGACTTCTACCACAAGGTCTCTGTGCTGGTCACTGCATTCCCTCTGCATTTGCAATAAGCTGATTCTGTTCTGCAGTCTAAAGGCAATGGGCTGAAAGGGGCAGGCAGGAATGGTGGAGGTGCCAGAAGGGGTCTCCCCAGGCAGAGTTCCTGGCCTGAAGTAGGGGGAGCTCTTCTCAGGTTCTGGAATATGCTGCTCCTTCATGGTCATCTTCCCTGTATTGGGTCATCTCTTCTGGAGCCTGACTGACCATCTAGTCCTACTCCTGTACCTTCCTGTGGCTGCTGCCTGTGCCTGAGCATGGACTCCATCACTGCTTGCTGGTGGTGGAGGTGGGCACAGCAGCTTCCACCCTGGTCAGTGCTGCCTGAGCTCTGCTACCCTGGGTGTGTGTTTCTCCCACAGAACGCCTTTGTCTCCATCTACCTCATCAGCTGCTTCAGCCAGCTCATTGACCTCTCCACCACTGTGTCTGATGTGGCTGGCTACACGCACAGGTGAGATTTGCCTTCCTTTGACCCCCCCCTTTGCCAGCTGCTGACCCGTCGGCACTCGACACAAAGGGGTCCCCATTTTCAAAAAGGGGAGGAAGGAGGACCCGGGGAACTACAGGCCTGTTAGTCTTACCTTGGTCCTAGGGAAGCTGTCTGAGAAAATTATCCAGGAGCACATGTGCGAGGGACCAGCAGGGGAGATTATGCTTAGGGGCAACCAACATGGGTTCATTAGAGGCAGGTCCTGTCAGACCTACCTGGTTGCCTTTTATGACCATGTCACAAAATCCTTAGACACAGGTGTCGCGGTGGACGTAGTCTTTTAAGACTTTGGGAAGGCCTTTGACACGGTCTTGCCCCATTCTCATTAAAAAATGAGGCGACTGGCATCGATGCCTACACAATCAGATAGGTTGGAAATTGGCTGGAGGGCTGCACCAAGAGAGTGGTGGTGGACGGGTCATTTTCGACCTGGAGGGACGTGAGCAGTGTGGTCCCCCAGGGCTCGGTCCTTGGGCCTGCACTTTTTAACATTATCAACGACTTGGACAAGGGGTGAAAAGCACCTTGTTCAAATTCATGGATGATACTAAGATGTGAGGAAAGGTGGGCACGCTAGAAGGGAAGGACAGGCTACAACTAGATCTGGACAGGTTATAGGGGTGGACGGATGAGAATAGGATGGGATTCAATACTGACAGGTGCAAGGTACTGCACCTAGGGAGAACCAGCACCATACCTACAGGCTGGGGTACTCCCTTCTAGTCAGCACAGAGGCAGAAAAGGATCTTGGAGTCGTCATGGATTCCATGATGAACATGGGCTGCCAATGTGAGGAAGCAGTCAGGAAGGCTAACCACACCTTTGGCATATATCCACAGATGCATCACGAGCAGGTCCAAGGAGGTGATCCTCCCCCTCTATGCAACGTTGGTCAGGCCACAGTTGGAGTACTGCGTCTAGTTCTGGACGCTGCATTCAGGAGGGATGTGGACAGCATTGAGAGGGTCCAAAGGAGGGCCATTCGCATGGTCAGGGGGCAGCAGGGCAAGCCCTACGAGGACAGGCTATGGGACCTGAACCTGTTCAACCTCTGCAAGAGAAGGCTGAGAGGGGATCTAGTGGCCATCTATAAACTTACAAGGGGGGACCAGCGGGGAACGTAAGAGTCTCTGTTCCCCTGAGCACTACCAGGAGTAACTAGGAATAACGGCCACAAGTTGACTGAGAGTAGGTTCAGGCTAGACATCAGGAAGCACTACTTCACAGTCAGGGTGGCTAGGATCTGGAACCAACTTCCAAGGGAAGTGGTGCTGGCTCCTAGCCTGGGGGCCTTTAAAAGGAGGCTAGAAAATCACCTAGCCAGGGTCGTTTGACCCCAGCATTCTTTCCTGCCTGTGGCAGGGGGTCGGACTTGATGGTCTGCTCAGGTCCCTTCTGACCCTACCAACTATGAAACTCCTGTGCAGAGCAGCAGGGAGGGTCCTGATCTGGGGTTCTGCATAGGAGGGAAGTACTTTTCCAAGGCAGGGTCCCCCTGTAGAAAGGAAATCGCTAGTCTGGGGTTGCCTCATGTCCCAGGTTTGCATATTTGTTGTTGGCACTCAGAGGCCCCAGCCCTGACTTGTGCCAGATGTGGAACATGCACCTAACCCTATGCAGTCCCTGCTCTTAAGAGCTCATCCTTGAGCATCACCACACTGGGCTCTTGTCTGAGGTTATTTTGGAATAGGGGTGGGCTGGGATGGCAATTGCTGAGGTGGGGATTCCAGTAACAGCAGCCACTGAGCTGCCACTGCTACTGGTGCCCATGCCCTCTCCAGGCCAGGAGAAGACACTAAAGCAGACATGCCTTTTCCCCAGCATTCCTCCTGAATGCTTCCAAAGCTAGCTGCTTCTTAGGAGGATATTATTATTTTTAAAAACTTCCCCAGCTTCCCTAACCACTTCCTTCCCTCAGCCAGCACCAAAGCACGTCCTGTTGCTTACCTCGGTAGCTCTGTGGGACAGGATTCTTTGCATCTTAGACAGCACTGAGCTCATGACTCATACTAACAATCGGAGCTCAGTGAAAGCAGAAGCTGAGCCAGGGAAAGGCAGCTGGTATTAGTCTGTTCTTTTCAGCTCTGACTGGTTTACAGGATTGGGGAGCTGCAGGAGACCCTGCTAAATCTCTCTAGGCAATGGAAGGATCACTATTTGGAAGCCAAAACCAGCTGGGACTTGGACAAGTGGGGCTTGGACAGGTGAGTGTCTGTGGCCAGTACTGACTGTGGCATGGCAACTTACTGAGTGTGTGGCTGTGTTCCCAGGGTGTGGGGAAAGTCTGACAAGTTATCTGGGCATCTTGTACCCCCTGGTGGGTATGGCAGGATTTCTTCCTTGACCTACATTCCAGGAATCTCTTTTCCAAGCTACTCCCCTAGATACTCTAAGAAGGGGCTCTGCTCCCTGCATGCTGGAGAGATTAGTGCAGGTTAAACCACCACTGTCACCAAAACTTCCCTCAGGTGGTAGGGTTTACTTTGGGCCCTGGGATTCTGTAGATTCATGTAGCTTACGTAGCCAAAGGAGGGCCAGATGCTGCTTTCCAGCTCCAAGGGTTAATAATAAAAGTCCTCTTAAATGGTATGGAGTCATAGTTTCATAGTTGTAGGGTCGGAAGGGACCTTGACAGACCATCAAGTCCGACCCCCTGCCATGGCAGGAAAGAGTACTGGGGTCGAACAACCCCAGCGAGGTGTTCGTCTGGCCTCTCTTAAAGACCCCTAGGGTAGGAGCCAGC